AAGATCGAAGGACCCGGACGATCTGCGTCACTCAGCCAGAACGCTTAATTTATGCTCCGACAAGAATGGATCATTTGATCACATGCAAGAACAGGACGATGCACTTCCCTGGTACCAGGTGCATAACCTGACCAGTAAGAGATGAAGAGATACCAGTAACGCTTGGGTAGAACCTAATTGTTGGGAACCTAACCTTTCCGATAGAATCTTTCAATGAATTAAAATGAAAATCGGAATTCCAATTATACGGATATTATCAAATCCTCTCGAGCCTGCAGTTCACCAACAGGTGCTTCATTGAAGCCTAAAGTTCTAAGCGGTGGTGGCCCAGTGGTGACGTCACCAAATCATCACTCCGGAGGATGAGTGTTCGAATCCCACCACCACCACCACCGCTTGACTTTCCTCATTTGTGTACTGTATGGCCTTTGATTGGCCGCTTCCCCCTTCCTGAAAATTGTATCTTTCTATATTCAATAAAAGGAAGTAAAATGAAAAAGAAAAAAGAAATGCCATAATAAGCTGTATTCTGCACAAACATATTTACTGATAAGCAAAAGAGTACCATGCGAGAAACTTGTTGGACAGAGCTGTTGAGAGATGGGATTTTCCGATACATGGCACCGAACATTGTTTTTCGGACTTGAAGGTGGGTATTCATAGGTTAATCGTTGAAATTCAATACCCGGGCAGAATTTGGAGCTCCCTTCGAACCACTTGTTTTGGTTTTAGGATCGATCGATCTGGTGTTGAGCTATCCGTTGCCGCACCCATTACCGAGTGTCTGTGTTCTAGAATTTTTCATAAAGAGTGGAGATGTGGTCGATACATCCTCGCCCAGATCTTAAATCAGCCTGGTTCTCACGCGTACGCCGTTCACGTGCGGCAGACAATCAAGGGAGTATGATACCAGCGAGAAGTTTAGAGGCAATGTTGGTTAAACTAACTCCTCTGTGGTCTTCACATGAGGATCTGTCGTCTTTCTTGTAAATCGGTTTGATCACTGATTCATCAGAAATCCATAGATAACGCTGGTCGGGGCATGTGTTACTCATGTCACCAGATAGGTTACCACGGCGGGCGATGTTTTCCAAGGCAGGTAGCAGCTGGAAAAAGATCAAGGGCGGTCAAACTAAGACCTGGCATGAAGGTATGAAAACCCTAACCAGGAGACGGGGTCATGTAGATCCCGTTAGGCTCCCTGGTTGGGGACCCCGAGATCATGGTCATGGCTGGGTGTAGCAAACAGTGGCGCTCATGCATTTACTCATTATTCTTGTAACCACAATCTATATGAATTCTCTATCTTCCGTTTGAATTTGCTCTGAACATTCCAATCTTCATTCTGCTCTTTTATTCAAATGGATGGCCAAAAGACAGCAACCAAAACCGGCGCACGAAAGGGCATTAATAAAGGTTGTGCAAAACTGAACTGAACTGACCCAGTTGCTGAAATTCTTTGACGCATATAGTTGTGCGACAGTGACAGTACAATACCATGATCTGTATTATTAGAGTCAATTTAAGCCTAGAACTCTGTACAGTTACTTCAAAACTTATGAAACAGTTGAGAACGACCTCTCTCTCTTGTTCTCCGATTTGTCTCTTTTCCAACTTAGTGAACCAAATGGCCTAACTGAGGACTATCTTGGACATGGTTCTGTGATTTGTTTCTCCATATTCTCTTTCTTAATATGTGATATATTTACACGGTGAATGATTGGCCTAGCCCATTCCATTGTTCACATGCACCAGGCACCTTTGATGGTCTTGGGTGTGGGTTCTATTCCTTGGGAGATCGTTAATCCCCCACTAGTTGCATGTATTCAAGTGTATTGAAAATGTTTGTGATGACCGACAAAGAGCACTACAAACAACTGTTTCGTCCTGTTTGGGACTCGTCAATAGTACGTATTCTTTGTGTCGCTGTCAGGACTCGAACCGTGAACATTCGGGTAGGGAATTAAAACCCTCATCCCTGAGTGGCACCGTCGACGGCAACACTTTGCGCGAATGGATCAATCAATTTACATAGTGAATGCTTGGGTTAGCCCAGTACGCAACGCTGATGAGTCCCAAACAGGACAAAACAGCAATCCGATGCTTTTGTCGGTTATCTCAAACATTTCCATGATGTGGTGTATTTCGAAAAAAAACAACAAGGAATAGCATGTGACCAATTCCTCCGAAGAGAGTATTACCAAGCGTATGACGAACACCTCATTGAATTCAATCGTTGGTTGGAGGAAAAATTGTATAATAATAAGGTCCCCAAATGCAGGTGTGTGTGTGTGTGTTTGTAAAGCTACAATAGTGTGCCCCAAATAACGCTACTCATTTTGTCCCGGATTCAATGCTCAACGGATTACTGACTAACTTTAACTTAGCGTGACGAGACGCATCGTGTTCCAGTGTGTTCGTCAGACAGACAGAGAGAGAGAGAGAGAGTGTGTGTGTGTGTGTGTGTGTGTGTGTGAGGAAGAATGAGCCTGATCAAAATGGACTGGAGCAGTGTCCTAATTCGAAAATCCTTTACGTTTGAATGAATTTTCTTTCATACTGAAGACAATGAAGTTGTGCTTACAAACAGCAAACTTGTGATGTTTCGAATGCCGGTATCCAATCAGACTCATACAATCGATTTGACATGTGGTCCCTCAAGAGATCTATCCAATAGCCCAGTTTCCAGTGGACTTCTGTTTGCCCTCCACAATGAGTCCATTTAACCCAATTGTGGTCATTTTACCTCCCACTCCAACCCCAACCCTAATGCAAACAGTACGATTGAAAATAAGAATGCGAACGATTTGTGACAAAGCACAGCATCATTACAATGGTAAGAAAACGTGAGAAGTGCGGCTGTGTACGCGTCCGTTCGTCCGTGGCTGTGTGTGAGTATCGAATGGGCTCCTGAAAAACCACAGGACTATTTTACTGAACGGTGAAAGAATGAGTGAAAACTACGATGAGAATCCGACCGGGTGATCCCACGCCGGTTGCGTTACTCATTTACTCTGGTGTGGTGGGGCGAAGACAAGATGTGGTGGTGCTGGTGATGGTGGTGTTGAAGAAATATGCTCGTACATAAAAAGGCTCGATACCGGACTGACTATAGTCATGCGTGTACCAACTAGCTATAGTTAAAGAGACGTGACACGAACAGACATAGACGCACATTGAATGGATCAACGGCTGTTCATTTTGAACGTTCTCACGTTCCTACAAATTGAACAGAAGACATCAGTGAAGAGAGAGAGAGCCGGAGAGAGAGAGAGCGAAAGGTGGTCAGCACACGAGAACAACCAGGACATAGTCCGCAGGCGAACCGGATTGAATATTGGAGTGAAAAGATTCAATGGGCTGTGTGGTGTTGCGGTGTTTAGGATTAGGGGGCGGGGGCGGGGGGATCTCAGGTGATCAGAAGACACGACTGGATTTTATACGAACTTTTCAACTATTTCTGCGTTGCATTTGAAATTTATGAATGTTGGAATATAAGTGACATTTTACGCGATTAGAAACGGAATGCATCCAGAGAAAATCTGGATTTGTCCGAATTAGCAAACTTGCTCATATCATCATCATCGTCATCATCATCATCATCGTCGTCGTCGTCATCGGTCGTCATGGATCAAATCCAAGCATGGATAAGAATCAGTCCTCGGAATGACTATATATATCCCAATCAGTTTCTATCTCTATACCAGATCACCCTGAATTGGTGTCCATTGTTGAATGATTGTCTTTTTGATAACCTATAATCGGATTGGCTAATGTGAAACCGAGAATCAGGACAAATGAATGAACTGTGGGAGTGTCACATGACAAAATGGAGAAAATGGAGAGAGAGAATAATTCAATAGTGTGCATCACTCAACCACGGTACCCACATAGGTCGAGCGGCTCAGATGACCGGTCTTGGCAAGAACAACCCCGCTTCATTTTTTTAACTTTTTGACCAACCCGAAAAACAAATATGGGACAAACATTTTGGTGAATACGCCGAGATCACTTTGGCTAAGTCTTCATTATGCACAGCGTTATTCGACCATTGAATAACGGAAGAAAGTCTTCCTCGATCAAACAAAACGTGTCTCCCGTAAGGCCTTGTGAACTATTATCTGTGTGGTTTGATCACTGGTATGGCCTGTTGCAGTTTAACTGATACGTGAGGGCTACAGTTTACACGATGTCAAGGCTAACAATCACCTGTACGTGCGCCTGATTGGTTCAATGCGTCACATGGCAGTTATTTGCGCGGTAGTCACTTCTCCATAGTCTTCTGACCAATCCAATTGAAGCCCACAGATTTGCGTTACGAACCTGATGATGAAAGGGTGAGTGAGGCACGATTTGTGCGCGTGTGTGTGTGTATGCTTTAGTTGCTCGACTGTGCTTTCCTGTGGTCACACACTCGTGTGCACGCGTACGCGTACACATTTGCGCTCGTGCACCGGTGCACACATGTGCCGTTGCCGTTGCCACCGTGGCTGCCGTCTGGTGGTCATTTTACCATGTCTATGTCTCCTCCCTCCTACCGATCATAAGCGCCACTATGTACCTCTGTGCACACGTACGTACGCACGCACGCGTGCGCGCGCGAGCGTTTGTGTGTGTGTGTGTGTGCTAGTAAATACGCTCACCTGGCCACTGGATGAGTTTGCTCGCGTGTGCGCCAAAGTCATCAAGTCAGCGAGTCAGAGAGCTAGAGTGAGAGATCGACTAACATCCGTGAGTTAGGCGGGGAGGGGGGGGCGGAGTGAGAGAGTAGATGAAAAGTAGCTTAGTGGTCCATCGGAAGTTAATTGGATGCGTCCCCAAGGCTAGACAGACTCGTTCACATGCGCTCTTTTCAGGTGCAACACCAGCACCACCACCCCCAAACGGGGACAATTGACAAAACACACACACACACACACACACACATAAGTAACAGCTTCAATTTTAACCAAGGTGATTGTCACACGTTCGCGCGACCAGCACGCTCATCACTGATCAGAATGTTGCCATCCGCGATGGCAGAAAATGGACAGTGGAAACATGCCGCTTTGCACTATTTGCTCGAAATGACCAAACAACCGAATCCGTTCACCGGATCTTTGTTCCCGTCAAATAGTATGATCAATATGAATAACAACAACAGTCCACCCACTCCAACAACACGTGTTCACGGATCGGTAATCCACAAACAACAACAACCACAACAACTGTACCAACCGGCCGGATACCTGATGGACAGTAGAAAATCCCTGACCACAACCACTCCGACTGTGTATGTGCCTTCTGGTGAGTGCGGATCGAAAACCGCTCACAATCTGTACGGTATGAAGTCGTCGTTGCCGGTCCAAACAAATTCATCTGACTTGTCCGATTCCCCGGTCTGTCCGGAAATGATTTTTCAAGAGGCTTTTCAACAATACGTCAGTAGTACTTCAGTATCTTGTGGTAAGTATACTGCTATTGCCCCTTGTGTTCGCCAAATGTGCTTTCTGATGGAATCTGTTGATCGAATTACATAACTGATTGGTGAATGTCGTCGTGTTAAGAGCAAATGAATCATGACTTGAAAAGTTAGACAGCGTTAAACGCCCGTTTTGACCTGGTTGGGCCTGATCATTAGTGCGAATCCATTGACCTAAATGAGGATAGCGAACCCGGGACTTCATCACAGGTCGAACGCAAGCACATTTCCCTCCGGATCAACAGACAGTTGGTCCAAACGCTTTACTTTTGCCTATATACAGCATAGCCCAACCCATTTTTCTAAGCGTGTTGCTTTTTACACGACGAAACTGACCAGTCAATCGAATCAAAACCCCCACTGGTATCATGTAAACTATACAATTGATAGGATATATATGTCCCACAGAAACCGTGAACCTCTTCACTGTGTTTGGTTGTTACTAAGGTTTCCTATCAACAATATTGATACGGAACCACATAATCACACCCATGCATATTTTGTCGACTTCATCTAACCCAACCAAAGGTTATTTAATCATGTTATCACAAAAGCAAGCGTGAAGAGACACCAACTGCACAGAATTCTGTTTGTGTATACATTAGAGTAGCGCATCAAAGGAGATAACCACCGGCATTTTCAAGACTCGAACAGCGTATGCAGAACTTAAACACCTGTGGCGGTGACGTGACGTTCTACTGAAGTTGAAAAGTCGCGTATACTGCTCCACTGTACGATCAGTTCTCCTTTACGGTTGTGAGACCTTGAATTTGTGAGTGAAAGACATCCGTCGCCTAGTGGTTTTCGACAATCGATGCTTGCGCAATCTGACCCAAGTGGGATGGAGTGAGCGGGTTAGTAACTTGGACGTCAGTCGTCGGGTGTTTGGGAATTGCATCGAACAAGAACTCGCTAGCGCATCGAATCCAGCTCATGTTTTCCGTACATCCGGCGATCACCTGTCGCAGCATACCTTAGTCGCAGTGACTGTTGCAGGCTGGAGAAAGCTACATGGAGGCCAGTAGGTAACGTGGAGACGAGGTATGAACAAATGCACAAAGGGATTAGGTATGGTTGGAGATAATGAACGTCATGGCTCCTAACCGACAGCAATAGCGATCTTGCTGTCACTTCTTATCAGTTCCGAATGATTGAAATAGTATGTATTCAAAGTTGAACTGTGTACTCCATGTGTGTTGACCATAGAGGTTCGCTTTCTTTTCCCCTCCCTAAAAGTAAGTTCAATCCCTATCCTTCTCACACCTTCCCATTTTGAGTTTGGCAGCGATCAGTGAAGTTCGCCTCACTTTACAATGATGATGAAGATTATGATGAAATGCACAGAATACGATGTATATGTGCCACAGACAGTAAGGAAATAGGATGATGAAGAAACGTTGTGAGGTAGCGTGCAGATGTGTTGGAAAACTGAAGCATATCTCCGTATGATTTGGGAGAGTGGGGTGGGAGAAACAGTTCACACCTCGATTCTTAAACGTAAGACCACAGGGCTGAATGCCACAGAAGATTCATTTCAAACAGTTGGAAATTTACTGTGTTTGATCGTCAGACAAAAGTGTGTTGAATAACTTTATCAAAGGGATTAACAATTCTTCACGTCCAGCCTGCTCTATCCGTTTGTATCCAACATCTTTGTGCTCAGTTCGTTTAGAAACGTTGCGCCGCTTTTGACCAATTTTATGGTGTATATTTTGATGCGTGCTCATGTTTTTCGGTGATGCGTAGCAGAACCATGCTTTCGAATTGGATGGTGTGTGTTCATCTGTTCGCAATTGCGGGGATATTTGTCTGAATGGGCGGAGAGTTTTCGTTCGCGAAGCAATGAAAATTGTTTTATCCTTTGAATTGCTGTTTCTCATCAAGTATCAGGCTGATACT